ACCGGGGGTATTAAAAATTCTGACGGGGCTATAGCCCCCCCCCCCAGCCCCGTTGTAGCGCCCTCACTGACTGTAAAATGATATTCTATTTTTTAAAAAAATCTTTACTTTTGAAGTTTCTGTTCATCAAAGAATCCTAAAAGTATCACTGTCTCCACAAATGTGTGTGTGTGTATATGTGTGTATATGTATGTATGTGTGTGTGTGTGTGTGTATATATATATATATATATATACACACACACACACACACACGTAGAAAAATTTGACCGTGATAATAAGAAATGTTTCTTGAGCACCAAATCATATTAGAATAATTTCTGAAGGAATATGTGAACATTTTAAATGACATTGCTTTAGAAAAATATGTAAGATCGAAATAGAAAAATAATGTTTCTAAAAATGTAGTACTATTTCACAATATTACTGTTTTACTGTCTGATTAATTAGTAAATTTGTCTGAATTAAAAATTAATTAAATTAAAATCACAAATGTATTGGACGAATAGTGTGAGAAATGTAGAATAACACTGAAGTGTTTAACAAGTGGCAGTGTGGTTTCATGAATTATGCAGTGCTATATGGTTTTATCATTGTATTTCTTGCAGTGTACATAAAACTGTCAAAAAACGCTTTGTCATTCACTTGATTTGAGCCTCTCTCACTCCAGGCGTGATAACTGATAGACTGCTGCCTGTCTCTCTTTATTCCTCCCAAGACATGATCACTTTATCTCAAGCAGCCTGAGCTCTTCGTCTCCATCCCTTTTTGACGGTGCTGTCATCAGCACAGTTACCACGGCAACCAAATGCGCCCTCTTGTGGCCTCAGGAGAGAAGCCAAAAGCTTTTCTTCACCCTAACTGAAATTATGCATTTTAAATTAAAATATAATTCGAATATTGATAACATTTAAGTAAAAAAATTCTAATTTAGTTTTTCAGCCATTTTAACAGCCCTAGTTTGCTGACAGACACCAGCGTTTCCCACAGACTGCAAATTAATTCTCTGCCAGCAGGAGGCGCTTTGTGAGCTGGAGATATCGCGGTTTCCCCGGTAACTGCTGCAGACCTGCCAACCACTGAAACGTGAAGCGCTCATTTTATTATAAGCCTTTTGGAAAATCTATTTGAGGGGGTCAGTTTTGATATTGTGACGAGCTGCCACAAATAACTCAATGTAGATATAGGCCGGCTGATCAATCGGTCAACCTCTAATTTCTAGTGTTTATTTTTTCCTCTGAATCCTAAAACCTTGCTTAAAGATTTAGATTAGATTTTTAATCACTGGTTTTTAGTGTGGTCTCAGCCTCTACTGTTAGTAGTTATTTTGTCTTTTTTAACAACCTTTTTTAGGCGGCTGTTACTCACCTGGTCATTAGAGGTGTCTCTGATGATGAAGAAATCTGAAACCTACTGCCCTCTGTTCTCACTCCCATCCTTCCTCAAATTCTGCAAAGGCTTACTGGCAAATTGTGAGTTAATATCCCTGTTGTTATTTCTGGATTTTTAGTTTACAAAGGTGAAAATGTTATAAAGAGAATCATTCTCCAGATCAACAAATAAAGGGTTAGGATAATAAACTAGTGACCAAGTGAATGGACTTTTAACATGTCAGTTTTCCTCTATGTAGCCTTGAATGAAGACCCCACCATATGTCTGCAGGCATGTAACAGTCTTCAGGTTGGCATGTTAGAATGAGCCATTTTAGGTAGGCGTGGTTGACTCTTCTATAAAGAAATATGTCTTTGGATTTGAGTCTTTGCAGCTTTACAGATCTTCTTTATGCACCAAGATCTTGTAACACTCCAAAGAGAAAGGAAACTTGAAATCGCATCATATGACCCCTTTAAGACAGAGTAGGTGGTACTGCGCATATGTGTCAAGCTCGTTCGTCCATGCTCATGCACGGTTTAGTATACTTCGAAAGCTGTGCGGACGCGGCTGTGCGCGAGACGGAACGGAATGCGGAAAGTGAAGTATACCCGGGCCTTCAGGCAGCCTTCTCAGTGGCGCGCGAAATGCGTCGACGATGTAAGTGTCATTGCATTTTAATGCTTTTGTTAGCCTGTCCAGTTGAACCCACTAGATGTGGCGCTGTTACGTTGTTCATTCAAAATATTGCAGAAAAAGAGAACAATCAATGCAGGGAAGATGTTGTTTACGTCAAAACCGAAACCAAGCCGTTCACACAGAACGCATATTTATCGCATTTTCTAGAGGGACATCTATCACCGTTGCACTCGCGTCTCGCAGAAGAGAGTCGCAGGTTTAGAAAGCTATGTAAAATTAATGTAAGTTCAACTTTTAAAAAAACATTTCTCACACCATATGTCTGCAGGCATGTAACAGTCTTCAGGTCGTGTCATCTTCCTTGACCACAGAGCTTCTCCAGAGGTAATCACACATCCTTTGCTTGTTAGACGCTGTCTTCCTGCAGGAACATTCATTAGTGCTGCATCGGTTCCCCCGGTAACTGCTGCAGCCCTGCCAACCACTGAAACGTGAAGCGCTCATTTTATTATAAGCCTTTTGGAAAATCTATTTGAGGGGGTCAGTTTTGATATTGTGACGAGCCGCCACAAATAACTCAATGTAGATATAGGCCGGCTGATCAATCGGTCAACCTCTAATTTCTAGTGTTTATTTTTTCCTCTGAATCCTAAAACCTTGCTTAAAGATTTAGATTAGATTTTTAATCACTGGTTTTTAGTGTGGTCTCAGCCTCTACTGTTAGTAGTTATTTTGTCTTTTTTTAACAACATTTTTTAGGCGGCTGTTACTCACCTGGTCATTAGAGGTGTCTCTGATGATGAAGAAATCTGAAACCTACTGCCCTCTGTTCTCACTCCCATCCTTCCTCAAATTCTGCAAAGGCTTACTGGCAAATTGTGAGTTAATATCCCTGTTGTTATTTCTGGATTTTTAGTTCACAAAGGTGAAAATGTTATAAAGAGAATCATTCTCCAGATCAACAAATAAAGGGTTAGGATAATAAACTAGTGACCAAGTGAATGGACTTTTAACATGTCAGTTTTCCTCTATGTAGCCTTGAATGAAGACCCCACCATATGTCTGCAGGCATGTAACAGTCTTCAGGTCGTGTCATCTTCCTTGACCACAGAGCTTCTCCAGAGGTAATCACACATCCTTTGCTTGTTAGACGCTGTCTTCCTGCAGGAACATTCATTAGTGCTGCAACTCTTCCTCCTGCTCTTGGGGGCGGAGGTTAAAAAAAAAACCTCTTGTTTAATCAGCACTGCTTCTGTCTCCTTTCTCTGTGCAGGTGCGTGGACGTTTGTCGAGTTCAGCTGGTCCACTCAGCAGTCCGAGTCCGGCAGGCCTTTGGGAAATTGCTGAGATCTGTTCCCATGCACGTTGCATTGAGGTTTGCAAGACTCCTTTTCGCCTGTCTTGAATTCACACAATAGAAACCAGAGGGGAGCATTAAAAGCTGTAGTTGATGTGATGGTAATTGTCGGCTTGTCTCCTAGCAGTGCCCGTGGTCACTCTGAGATTAAGGAGATTTCTCTGGCCATCCGCCGACACATGAGCAAAGTACCTATCAACACATTCCACCCACAGGACTTTTCTGACCTCATTGGGTTTATTCTGTATGGAACTGTCCACCGTGGGGGGTGAGTAGGTTCATTTCTTTATTCTCACCTTGGTGAGAACAAATGGACACGTTTGTTCGTTTGAATATATTTTATATTTGATAAAACCCTGTACTGTAGACCATCTACAGCTGAAATAAAAGGGGAGCTGGGAGTCATTATCTTTGGAGTTATTTATTAGATATTCATTGTTTCATACGCAGTAAGGAACCCTGGTTGGAGCGGCTGTACCACAGCTGTCAGCGGCTGGAGAAGAAAGACTCAGCCATGGTGCCCCGTGCCCTACTGAAGACTGAGGCGGTGCTGTGGCAGTGGGCGGTTTGGGAGGCCGCTCAGTTCACTGTTCTCTCTAAACTCCGGACCCCTCTGGGACGAGCCCAGGATACTTTCCAGACCATAGAGGGTTAGCGAGTTATCCATTTAGGAATTTGACTAATCTCAAAAAATTCCAAGATTTATTAAAGGAATAGTTTGCTTAATTGAAGTTTTGACACTATTCATTCCCCTTCGTGTCATTCAAAATGTGTATGACTTTAATTTGTCATTCTAGATACTTGTGAATACATTTTGAAGATTGCTGGGGTGCATTTCCCAAAAGCATTGTTAGCCAACTATGGTTGCAAGCCTCGTTAAATTCTAATGGTAACGATGGAACTTGCGACCCCAGTTGCTTTTGGGAAATACACCCAGGTCTCTCCATTCCATGCAATTACATTTAATTTTCAAATAATTTTGTGAAAACATGGAAAATATGCATTAAGCAAAAATACAGTTTTAAAGTGCCCCTATTATGGGTAATGAAAGGTTCATAATTTAGTTTTGGTAGTCCCCAACAACAGGTTGACATGCATGCAAGGTCAAAAAACGCTTTCATTGTCTTATATGCATTTATTTTTACCTTACTTAACGGCTCCCAAACGATTCTTTTTTCCAAACCCCTCCTTTGTGTGACGCTAATCTGCGGTGATTGGTCCAATTGGTCTCATTTTCATTTCATCATGCCTGTAATGCCTGATAACACAGCCTTTGTGAGCAGTGCTGCTTTGTGTACAGCGTTACCGGGGAAACATGAAACGACTTGGGATTCGTTTTAAAAATGACTCGTTTCAATGATTCAGAGTCGACTCTTCTTTTGAGAGACGATAACTTTATACACGGTGCACTTTCAGATTTAAAACTTTGCAGGATGTTTTCATTCACTTAGAGCTGTGTTGCACACTGCATGAAAGGTAATTTTCAAAAATCCATAATAGGGGTACTTTAAGTTGAATTCTAAATGTTCCATTTTCATTGACGCATTAAATTTTTTGCAATACATTTTAAATTTCACAAATAAATGATTACTGAAATAGGTTGAAGGATTGGAACTATTACTCCATTATCTTCCCAACATTGCTCCTTTTTGAGATGTCAGTTATTGTAAGGCACTGGCTCTACACTATTAGGATTTAATATCCGAAAGCCTTATTTAATTGTTTTTGCTCTGTGCTTTGCCCTGTAGGGGCCAGAAATGGAGGTGCCAATCACCATGTTAGTGGAGGCGATGTGTGAGCTGCGATGCCCTGAAGCTATACAAGGTCTGGCAGCCTGGAGTCTGGCCAACAGTGGCAAGAGCCTGGGCTGGCTGGGATCAGTGGTGCTGCAGGCTGAGGGAAAGTAAGTGTTTTGTGTTCTGAAAATAATTAACCTACTTTACACCATGCAAATTTGTCTAGTCGCTCTGTTCTCATAAAATGTTGATGTTGCGTTGTTCCCAAGGTTTGAGAAGGCAGCGTTAGAGTACCAAGAGCAGCTGTGTGCCGTCACAGGGATGGACTGCTCTATTAAAGGCTTTGATCGCTCCCTGTTAAAACTCACTGGCTCCAACACCTCCAGCCCAAAACACACCAGCAGTGGTGAGTATTTTGCCGTAAATGTCTCACATGAGAAAGGAAATGCAGGATAATCCTGAATAGGGTTGAGGTAAAAAAAAAAAAAATTATTCATATATGAATCTCAATTCATATATTTTCTGATTCCAATTGAACCGCTGCGCATCTCAAAGCAACAGACAGTGATTCATTACAGAATGAATTAGGTTTTGAATTAATCGTATGAGTGAATGATTCAATTAATAATTCATAAAGACAATAGTGTCTGGCTTTGTTTCAGAATGTTTGAACAAATGAATGAAGAGGACTTGCCACCACCTATTGGCAGTTCTAGTTTCATATATCGTGTGTTGGTTAGTTTCATTGTTGTCATTGTATTTCGGTATTAGTTTTATTTTTAAAACTTTACTTTCATAGTAGTATTTATGAAATTGCAGTGTAGGTGTGTTCACATCTGAGCTGCATTAAAAAGTCTGTGTAAATAAACACTTTAGATGCAGCTTGTTCCACCTCTGCAGTGCAAAGATGGTTTTTGTTGATACTGATTCAGTTTGTTGGTAATAGCTCTATAGTGTCTCATTATTCAGACTGAATTTGTATAAATGTAAGAATGGACAAAAAAGTGAGATTCCAAAGGATTCCCATCCCTAGCCTTTAATGATATCAGAGGTTATTGTCCCCTGATCTTTTTTTTTTTTTTGCCGAAGTTGCCTTGGTTCTTATTGTTTCTGTCATGGCTGTTTTAATAGGAGATGGAAGGAAAACGGTGTTGTTGAAGTCCAGTGAGTGTTCTCCAGAAGTGCTCAACTTCCTGGCTAATAAGGCCTGTGAGTGTTATGTGGCCCTGAGCGACTGGGAGTCCGTGCAGGAGTGGCAGGCCAGCATGATGAACCTCAAAAAGAACAGCAGCAGTTCCAGTGTCAACCTCAAGACAGACTTTAACTACATCAGGTGTGTAGTAGCAGAACTATTGACACTAACTGAACTCCTCCTGACTGTAGGAATGTGAGGAGTTTGTTGAAATGATTGTTTTAATCTGTCTACCCTCCAGAGCTCTGAGTAGTTTTGAGGAGGGGGATTTCGCAGAGTGCCGTGTCCAGTTGGAGTTGCTCCCTGGGGAGGATTATGGCCTTCTTAACTCTTCAACTAAGGACAAGATTGGTATGATTAAATCCACAGTCATGGAAAACCAACATGTAGTATAGTTTTTTTTTTTTTTGTCAGGCCTGGAAAAGACATGGCAATAAAAATAATTAGCAGCAGCAGCATTTTTCACCTAGAAATGCTCAGCTCAATTTTTTTTTTGTAGAAATTAGAAATTGCTTTTTGTAAAGATGATCTTTAAAAATTCTTAAATCGTTTGTTTTACATTGGTCAGAACATGTGGAATCCATTTCTATGAACTGCTTCGCTGATCAGCAATTTGGTGTGTTATGTATTAATGTTTGTTTGTGTTGACAGACCTGAAGAGGCTTCTTCCTGCTGTGTTGAGCCCAGACCCATCAGAGCTCCAGAAGGCCATTGAGGTACAGCTCCTCAGAAGTGCTGTGGGAGCCATCACTGCGACCAATCACGAACAGGACCAGAAGGTTCTCGCATCATCTGAGTGAGTAAATGGTCTGAACACAGTAGATTTTTCAACAAGTTGTGTATGTACTGATGGCGAGTCTACATTTGGGTTTTCATCTTCAGCACCCTGGTGAAGTACCTGAAACAGACGGGCCGCATCTCTCTGGGTCCCCTGCGTCTCTCCACTCTCACTCTGTCTGACTCCTTGCACACTCTCAGCACCCTGCAGCTGCACTGTGCCAACTCTCTAGAAAACTCGCTCTGCAACCAGCACCCGGAGGTTTGAGCCACCACATCAACCCTGTGAGCATGCAAATACATTGTCATGTGTCTTTTCCTTTTCAAGAAATCCCTTTTCTTTGTTTTTCTCCCTGTAGGACTGCTTAATTCCGCTCTTCAGTGAAGCTTTGACCACCTGCAAGCAGCAGGATGTTCAGCCATGGCTACATGCTCTCCGATACACCACTTTCCAGCGGCAGCTCTTCCAAAAACTCAAAGGTAAGGTCTCCTTCTCTTGTGTGTAATTTTGGCTAATGAATGTGATGTGGCGTCTCTGTTGACTCTGCAATGATTCATCCAGGATCGTCTGCTCCAGTGGACTCTCACCTGATGGAGCTTTGTCTGACTGCGGTGAAATTTGCTCGTAAGCAAGGAAACATCGCCCTGGCCACGCGTCTGCTGAGTCTGTGCAACAAGCCATCAGTGAGCGACTCTGAAGGTCAGGACCTGGTGCAAAGCTTCAGGCAGCTGTCACTAGAAGGCACTGTTGGGGAGAAGTGGGGACCAGAGCTGGAGATCGAGAAGGCTAAAGTTCTGTTTGCTGCTGGTAAGTGTGTTTAAGCTGTTTCAGTCTGATTTGGGCCAGTTCACTTGGTCTTGGTGTTTTGCAGTGTGAATGTCTTAGCACTTCACTGCCTTTTAGGTCAGTCCGTATCTGCTATGGAAATGCTGAGCTCCTGTGCGCTGTCGTACTGTCACTCTGGAAAGTGTGAGCGTGCAGCCTGTCGCTCTGTGCTTACTCTGTGCAAATGGCTTTTGGCCGACTGGAAAGATCTGACTCCACAACTCAAAATGGTGGTGAAGAGGAACTCTGGTTCTACCAGCCTCTCAGCTCTCTCCAAAAACATCTCTGGCCTGTTGGAGCTGCCGCTGGAAGATCAGGGAATGCCACATATTACAACAGAGACTACAGGTAGGCTTAATGTCAATGCATTAAACCATGCTGTTTGTGTCATGAATGGTTGAGGACCAATATGATGATTGCATTGCATTCTACAGTGTCATGTGTATTAGTGTGTGATTGCTATTGTCTTTGTTTCTTTGTTCTGTCTGCAGTCAGTGTTGGTGTTGGGGAGCCAGACTTCGTCCTTGGGCAGCTGTACCAACTCTCAACTACTCAGGCTCCTGAAGTGGCCAAATCATGGGCTGCTCTGGCCAGCTGGGCGTACAGATGGGGCAGAAAGGTTGTGGACAATGCCAGGTATTTTCCCCAATAAAATTGCTAATGTTGGTTTACAAAAAAAAATGATATGCTCATACTTATGTTTTGTTTATTCTGTCTGTCGATAGTCAAGGAGAAGGGGTTCCGTTGCTCCTTGGAGAGAAGAAAGAAATTGAGGACTTGCTCCCAGCAGGCACCAGTGATGAGGACAAGGAAATCATTTTCGGCATTTTGGGTCAAGCCATGTGTCGTCCAGCTGGAATTCAGGTTATAGAGTTCACAGTTTGTAAATTAGTTTGAATCGGTGGTTTTCATACTATGGCACACTACACACTAAGGAACTATGGACATATAATCAGAGGCGGACAGTAACTAAGTACATTTACTTGAGTATTGTACTTAAGTACACTTTTTTGAGTATCTGTACTTTACTTGAGTATAATTTTTCACTCAAGTAATGGAGTTGAGTACTTTGTCCGCCTCTGCATATAATGCTAGAAACCATAGGCATTTCATTTAAATATACTGTAGTTCAAGAGTTTGGGGTTGGTGCATTTTTCTTTTCTTCCATTGGTGCTTTTGAAGGAGACCTTTTATGCTTACCAAGGCTGAAATGTTATTTTTTGAAAAAATAAATAAATACAGTAAAAACAGTAATAATGTGAAATGTTAGAATTTAAAAATGACTTGAAATTTGTTTCCAAGTAAAGTAATTATCAATAAGTTACTCCACTCCACTCACTTTCACATAATTCTTCAGAAATCATTCTAGTGTGTTGATGGTGTTCAAACATTTTATCAGTGTTGAAAACCGTTTTCATATTTTTCATTTTTTAGGATTCTTTGGCAAAAGGAAAGTAAAAAAAAAATTCCAAATTTAAATTTTCTATTTTAAACTTCCTTAAAAATCTTTTGGAATGTTATTTTTTACTGCCACTTTTGACTGATTTAAACTTGATTTAAAAATAAAAGTATCAATTTCTTAAAGATATGTTATTTTATCTTGTCTATATAAACTTGTAGATTTCTGCCACAAGGTTAATGCTGATGTTCATTTATCTGCGATGGGAATGTGAATAGTTCTTGTTTTGTGTATTCATTGGTCATTGTGTTCATGCAGGATGAGGACATGGCCTTGCAGAATGAAGAGGATGAGGAGGACGACATGGTGGATGTGATCGGCCGACAGCTGTTGAGTGCCTGCCCGTGGCTGTCTGAGGTGGAGGACACTGTGACCGATGGGCTGATTGGGGTGTGGAGGAGAGTGGTTGACCGAATCTTCAGCCTGTACCGGGTCTCCTGCAGAGCGTACTTCACCTTCCTTAAACTCAACGCTGGGCAGGTCAGAGGATTCCTCCTCTAATGTTTATGCAGTGATAAATTTCTAAAACCGAAATCGATCAAATTTCTTGGTGTCTTGATCATCAGGTGCCCATAGATGAAGACGACCCCAAGCTGCTCCTGAACAACCAGAGCAGCAAACAGAGCAGCGATGATGTCATTGTCATGGCAACCCTCCGTCTGCTGCGCTTGCTTGTGAAGCATGCTGGGGAATTAAGAGAGGGTCTGGAACACGGCCTGGCATCCACCCCCACTGCACCCTGGAGAGGTAAGAACTTGAACATCAATACAGTAATGAACACTTTCCTCTCTACATCATGTAGATAGTTATTTTTATTCATGTAATATTAATAGCTCCGTTTTATCTCTAGGTATCATCCCTCAGTTATTCTCCAGACTAAATCACCCTGAGGCTTACATCCGCCAGAGCATCTGCAGCCTGCTGTGCAGAGTCGCCCAAGATTCACCCCACCTTATCCTCTACCCTGCCATTGTTGGATCTATATCTCTTGGTGGAGAGGCTCAGGCTGCAGGTACATACTGTATTTCCAGGCTACCTTAGGCCATGTGTCCATCGAAGCATGGACATAAACATTCTTAGCCAGATGAAAATGCCAGACGCTCTTTTTAAAACTAGGGGTGCTTGAGCGCTTTGTAGCTGCCTACCTGATAGACCCATGGGGAACGAAATGTTCCTCTAAACACTGTTTTACATATTAATATTCTGGTAGTCTGGGACCATGCATCTGGGCCAAATATTTGCACCTAAACATAACAAAGAGACTATAGACAGTGTCTCACCTCTCTGCTTGCTTTTTTTTTTATTGAAGACAATTGGAAAATGCTCTGGCTTTATGCTTTGATGGAGACATTAAACAACCAGTCAGTTCTCAGTTTAGTGATCATATATAGAAGTTTAGCCTCTTTGGAGAAGAAAAATTGTTTTCATCTCTGCCAGGTAATAAGCTGCCGTCGTCCCTGCCAACCCTTCTTGGGAACATGCAGGGAGAGGCTCTTTGTGGGGGTGAGAGCGAGACGGGCAGCGGGCCGACTTCTCAAGAGAACAGCCGTGGGGAAGAGATGATGTATTCTAGTGAAGACCAAGCCATGATGCAGGACTGCTACAGCAAGATTGTAGACAAGCTCTCTTCTGCCAACCCCACCATGGTGCTACAGGTATTACAGAAATGACTTTGCTGTTCTATAAGTGTCTGTTTGTGTTAAAGGTCATTGTTTAAGAGTTGTTTTGTTGATCCTTGTGTGTGCAGGTGCAATTGTTGGTGGGCGAGCTGAGGAGGGTCACTCTGCTCTGGGACGAGCTCTGGCTGGGGGTCTTGCAGCAGCAACACATGCACGTTCTGCGCAGGATTCAACAGCTGGAGGACGAGGTGAAAAGAGTTCAGAACAACAACACTCTGCGCAAGTAAGTCAAGACCCTGGAAATCAATATAGAAGGAGAAACTTCATTAGTGAGTGACTCATGCCTCTTGGAAAATCATTTAAATTTTCAATCTCTTGTGGTTTAGGGATGAGAAGGTGGCTATTATGAGAGAGAAGCACTCTGCTCTGATGAAGCCTGTGGTTTTTGCACTGGATCACGTACGCAGCATCACGGCTGCTCCGGCGGAGACTCCTCACGAGGCGTGGTTTCAGGAGACGTATGGGGAGGCCATCCACAACGCTATAGAGAGACTGAGGAGCCCTCTTAATCCAGCCAATCCTGCCAGCAGCTGGGTGCCCTTCAAACAAGTCAGGACATCTGTGTGCATAAGTGAAATGCTGATATGCATGCTGTGCATTTTACCTTTTGTAATTCTACCCCATCCTGTCACAGATCATGCTGAGCTTGCAGCAAAGGGCACAAAAACGGGCTAGTTACCTCCTGCAGCTAGATGAGATCAGCCCCCGTCTGACTGCCATGACCAACACAGAGATGGCGCTGCCAGGGGAGGTGTCTGCTACAGATGCAGTCACCATCCAGAGCGTAGGCAATACCATCACCATCCTGCCGACTAAAACCAAACCCAAGAAGCTCTACTTTCTAGGCTCTGATGGCAGAAATTATCCTCACCTATTCAAAGGTATGAGTTTTAAACGTGGCTAAAAGCAGCACCAAAAACTCACCCTCATGTCATTTCAAACCTATAAGACCTTTGTTTTTCTTCGAAACACAAATAAACATTACTTGAGATTTCTGTCCCCCCTTTTTAAAGTATAAATTGAGCAGTTTAGTAAATGACATAATTTTCATTTTTGTGTGAATTATCCCATTTAATGCATTTAACATTTGCTCATGTAAACATTATCTTTGTGTTTTAGGATTGGAGGACTTGCATTTGGATGAGAGGATCATGCAGTTCTTGTCTATCGTCAACACCATGTTCACTAAAGTGAATCAACAGGAGAGTCCAAGGTTTCACGCCCGTCATTATTCTGTCACACCGCTGGGCACCAGATCAGGCCTCATCCAGTGGGTGGATGGAGCCACTCCACTATTTGGTCTGTACAAACGCTGGCAGCAGCGTGAGGCTGTGGTCCAAGCCCAGAAGGTGAGAGTGAAAATTAGCATAGAACACTTCAGAAAAAATATGGTTTTACAGGGTTTTTGTAGTTAAGACCATTTGTTATGTAAAAAATTAAGATAATTGATAAAAGTAAAAATACATAAAATATAAAAAATGCCAGTTGTCATTTTCAGTTGAGGTAAATAGTGCAGCCCTATTGATTGGCTTCCCTTTCGGTGAAGGAAGATTTAAAAATTGACCAAATCTTGTAACTTTTTTTTTTTTTTAATTTAGGCACAGGACTCCTTCCAGCAACCTCAGAATCTTCCCATGGTTCCACGGCCCAGTGAGCTCTATTACAGTAAGATCAGTCCTGCCTTAAAGGCTGTCGGACTCAGTTTGGATGTGTCACGCCGTGACTGGCCGTTGAGTGTCATGAGAGACGTTCTCCGAGAGCTGATGGAGGCTACACCCCCTAACCTCTTGGCGAAGGAGCTCTGGTGCTCCTGTACCACCCCCAGTGAGTGGTGGAGCGTGACTCAGGTCAGAGGAACCACTATTCACATGTCCTACCCATGTTCGGCACAGTGTTAGAATAAATGCCTTGCACTATAATTAACCAATCTTATGCGTCTCATTTAGTCTTATGCCAGATCCACTGCTGTAATGTCAATGGTGGGATACATCATTGGATTAGGAGATCGTCATCTTGACAATGTGCTTATTGATATGACGACTGGTGAGGTGGTACACATTGACTACAACGTCTGTTTTGAGAAGGGTGAGTGCTTGTTCACTTGAGAATGACTCAAAACATACTTCATGGGCATAGACATTTAAATACCTTATCATCCTAACAGGAAAAAGCTTGAGAGTACCAGAGAAGGTTCCTTTCCGTATGACACACAATATTGAGACCGCTTTGGGGGTCACAGGGGTGGAGGGCATCTTTAGATTGTCCTGTGAACAGGTAAGAATGAGATGATTCATGAATGTATATGATTCGTTTATTGTTTAATTTAGAACATGCATACAAATTGGAACTGTGTCCTTTCCTTGCAGGTCATCCAGATAATGCGCCGTGGTAGAGAGACCCTCTTGACTCTTTTGGAGGCGTTTGTCTATGACCCTCTGGTGGACTGGACAGCAGGTGGCGAGGTGGGCTTTGCAGGGGCTGTGTATGGAGGTGGTGGTCAGCAAGCAGAGAACAAGCAGAGCAAGAGAGAGATGGAGCGAGACATCACACGTAGCCTCTTCTCCTCCCGTGTGGCTGAGATTAAGGTGAGAATTTTAAGTGCAAATGGTACAGATATGTACATTTGCCTCTTAAATGTGAGGTATGTTGATTTCAATATAAGAATTTGCTAAAATAATGAATTTCTTTAACATTACTGCTACATGACATTGGTTGGGTAAGCAGGTATTGCATCCTCAAACTGTTGCCCCGGTTGAGCCATGTTGCTATATCACATATTCAGGGAAACCAAACTACTGATTAATTCTTAAGCTTGAATACAACATCAAAAAATGACACTCAAGCTGGTTTATATCATCACAAAAATGTAGGCCTAAACCGTCATCGCTGAGCTCTCTATATAAAGTCGAATGTATATTATATCCCACTTGCATGCATACAGTACACTCAATTTGAGCGATTTGAAGTGTATAGCAAATCTCAACTGTCTGATTTATTTCAGTACAAAATGTAACTATTATCACCCAGCTCTTCATGAAAAGGTGGATTCGCAAGTGTGCCCAACTTTATCTGCATACGTGTAGTATACTCCCATGGAGTGAATGTATAGCAGTTCTCAACTGCTTTGGTACTTGTGTTTGTCACAAAATGAAAACCGTATTATCGCCCAGCTCTAATATGCTGAATGCCATTGTAAGGCATGAAGATGTTAAGATATTTTACTCATTAGCGTTGTTTTTTGTAAAGCTGCTGTGAAATAATATGTATTGTGAAAAGCGCTATACAAATAAATTTGACCTGACTTGGTTTGCTAACCAAAAAATTTTTTTTTCTTTTTTTTTTTTTTTTTTTTTTTTTTTTTAGGTGAACTGGTTCAAGAACCGTGATGAGATGATTGGAGTGCTGCCGCAGGTGGAGGAGACAGTGGATGAGTACCTAAACCTGCAGGAGCAGCTCACACAAGTGGAGAAAGTGCAGGGCAAGCTGCTGGAGGAGATGGAGTTCCTGGAGGGAGCCGACACCAGAGCAGATCATCCCATCCACTCCCTGGAGCACAGGTCAGCAGACGAGACCACCAAGGAGTTTTTTTTTTTTATAGAGGGAATTATGCTCAGCTGGTCACAATTATTGCTTGATTGTGTAATAGTGTAGATTTGATTGGACAGATTATAAGTTCTAACTGTCATTCTTTCTCCCATCCATTTCCAGATTCTCCGAGCACACTCAGTTGCAGTCCAGGCAGAGAACTGTACAGGATGCTATACAGGGGAAGTTGTCAGATCTGGATCAGTGCATCTCTCAGTATCATGCTGCCTTTGCCAGTCTAGAGGCCACCCAGCTTGCCAGTCTCCTCCAGGAGATCAGTAGCCCTATTGATTTAGGTGCAGATCATTTTGGGTTTCTTTTACAGAATATTAACTGAAGTTTAATGAGAAGCAAAAGGAGCACTTGCAAACTTCTAATTTGTTCCTTTGGTCTGTGTAAACTGCAGGTCCACCTAGCTACGTCCCAGCAACATCTTTCTTGCAGAATGCAGGCCAGGCACATCTAATTAGCCAGTGTGAGGCACTGGAGGCAGAGGTGAGCGCTTTGTTACAGCAGAGGCGCTCTCAGCTGCGTGGCTGTCTCGAGCACCTGCACAGCTATGCCACAGTGGCCTTGCTGTACCCCCGTGCGGTGCTGCTCAGGCACAGAGTTCACACGTGGAAACAGTGGATGGAGGAGCTGGTGTGTGACATGACCGTCGATCACTGCCAGACCGTCTATCACCAGTAAGTGCAACTACTGATTGTGTCTCCAGTTCACGCTTTTTGGCTGCTTTTTCATCAGTAACTGGTCCAACTTCACATAATAAAAAACTATACAATTTTATAATTACACTACCGATCAAAAGTATGGTGTCAGTAAGATTTTTAAAAGAAGTGCTCATGCTCACCAAAGCTGCATTTATTTGAGCAAAAGTACAGTGAAACAGTAATATTGTGAAATATTATTATTATTATTAATATTATATTTAAAAACCTTTTTGATTTTAAAATGTAATTTTGTTCTGTGATGTAACGTGCCCTTGCTGAATAAAAGTATTCCAAAAAAAACAACACCCAAACTTTTGAATCAAGGTTCTCATGTCCTGAAAAATCTGGAAAAATCAATCATGCATTTTTATTAATTGTAATCATTTTTCAAATTGACTTTTCCATGTCCTCTAATTAATTAGATATCATAAAAATCCTCTTTTTCTTTCTTTTCAGGTATGAAATGCAGTTTGCACCCCAGCCCCCTCCTGCCACATGTCAGTTCCTATCTAGCATCGAGATGGCGCTGCAGCACCACGCAGCAGAAACCAACACTCGGCTGCTGCGGCAGGTAGAGCGTCTGAAGGCAGAGGGTGCTGGTGTGCCCGTTTGTGAGGAGCAGCTGCAGGAGATCGAGCGCTGCATCAAAGTCTTCCTGCTCGAGGACACCGAGCTCGGGTCCTTCAGCCTGGCCGGCATCATCGTCTCTGCCCTCTGTGCCCTCACCAGGTCTGAGTCTGTGGCTTTAAAAAAAAAAAAAAAGCTACAAGAATTGTGAAAACCTTCATTTGTTGCCGAAATAAAAACGTACCGGTCTTCCATGCCTTTTTTTCAGTGATCTTAAAGAATGAAAGAATTCAGTGTTTCTGTGCTTTGCAGGCGTAACCTGGTGATGGAGGGAGCTGCAGCCAGTGCCGGAGAGCAGCTGGTGGAGCTGACGTCCCGTGATGGTGCCTGGTTCCTGGAAGAGCTCTGCAGTATGAGTGGAAACATCACGTGCCTTGTGCAGCTATTGCAGCAGTGTCAGCTTCTGTCACATGACCTGGACATCCTCAGCCTTGCAGAGACTTCGCAAGTTGTCTACCTGGCCAATGGCGTCTACACCTGCCTTCAGGTAATGTTCTCAGTGTTTAATGGTATTCAGTGGTTTCAGTGATGGTTTTTCCCCCCTCTCAAACATTTTTTATTAATATTTGAAGGAGCTCAACACAAACTTCCGGCAGATCATCTTCCCAGAGGCTCTGCGCTGCATGCTGAAGGGAGAAAATACATTAGAGGCCATGCTAGTGGAGCTGGACGCACTTATCGATCAGTGCGCAGATGGGGTTTCGCTGCAGGGACTGGGGGAGGTTCTGCAGGCTCATCTTCGTAACACCGCCATGGGCCTGGAGGAGGATCCAGATGACCACTATCTGGATATCACCAGGTAAAATGGAAATATTTTCTAAGAAGTACATAATGTTATTGAATTTGGATGGACTGAACTTTGTGTCTGTTTTGTGTCAGGGTTCTGCGAGCCCAGTACTCAGAACTGATCCAGCCGCGCAGCATGGAGAGCTCCGTGCAGGAAACACCCAAGATGAGTGCCGGTCAGATGTTGTTGGTAGCTTTTGATGGCATGTTTGCACAGCTGGAGACTGCTTTTGGACTTCTGATTGACAAGGTAAAAATACTGATTTGTAAAATATTGTAGTTTGTAATTCATGTTTGGTTAGAGATGTAATACTGTCTAAGGCCACATCCACACGAAGCCTGAGCTTTCCCTGTCCGATCTTTTTTTTCTCCCTCGTCTCAAGAAAAATCTGCGTACACACGAAACTGACACAAAACGATGTAGTATACATGCCAGGCCAGTATGTGGCACTGTAATTCTGCCACAGAGATACACTAAAAACGGAGAAGACTTGGACTATGCGTATAAACCTTTAGCGCTGTATACAAACGAACATGGAACAATACATTTATTGATCTGTGTTAATGTTAGTTAATAAAAAGACAATCGTTCATGTTTTTGTTGCTGTTACGTGACGTAGCGGTGTCTGACTAGGGTCGAGACGTGGGGTAATGATATATATATGAAAATATACGGATTGGCTGTATGCATGAAAACGCAAAGGTGTCGTTTTCAGATTGATCCACTCTGGTACCCGGTTTGAGAAAATAGCGGTTTCACACTCCCAAAACGCCGGATCCGTCTGGATGAAACGCCAATACGATGCAAAATTTTTACGTACACAGCTAAGCGCATCTCCATGTGGACGGGCCTAATATTTGACCACCTGGGTCTGTTGTACAATTTAGATGTTCTGTAAACCTGTACTATTTATCAAAGAATACTGATTATTTTTTTTTTCTTCAGTCTGAGAAGTATACACGAGTTAAATACCGTATGGATTAGTGCATTAACAGTAAAATACTCTAGTTATGATTAGGGATGCACCAAAAGTTCGGCAACCAAAATTATTTGGCAGACAATAGCAAAAAAAATCTCTTTCAGTGCGACAAGACTGAATAAATTGTACCAAACAATGACGTGACGCTGTCAAATAGAGGCGTGCACTAATGCAGCAAACATGTCAACATTGTGAAAGACGCAAAAAATGATTACATGCACCGACAGCGAGAGACTGTTTAGTACTGCATCGCTTGTCTTCGATGAGAAGAGGAACAGGTGGTTGCTGGTTACTGTAAGACGATTGAAATCATGAAATGGCCTTAAACAATTATTAAATAAACTGCAAAATGTTATGTTTTCTAATACATGCACGAATTGCATGTATTCTGACAGTAATGACAAGCTCGATAGCAAGGGCTCAAAGTCCAAAGCACGGGGAAAATCTGCACTGAAGCTGCTACTCGTCAGTTGCTCGGTCACATTTTAATGTATTTTTTCAAGGCGTGTGACAATGCGATACGTGTGACAAACATCTTCCCAAATTCGTTATGAGAATCATTTATAAATCTGCTGTTGTCCGCACTGAAGGTCTTCCTGCGGGTTTCTGCCAAAATAAAAGCTGAGAAAAAGCAAGAACTCCATCAACATTAATAAATTTTAGTATTGTAATTTTACTGTTGTTCTGTAAAATAAAATAAAGACGATAATAATAATTACAACAGCTCTATTAATACATTTATTTTAACATTCACACACTGTTCAAATTGGGATCTGTAATATTGTCTAATGTTTTAAAAGAATTCTCTTCTGCTCTGCAAGGCAGCATTTATTTGTACAGTAAAAAAATACATGCCTGATTCAAGAAAGGGGTTTCAAAAATGGCCAAAAAAATATTATTTTACTAACTAAATTAAATTTAAGTTAAATTGTGCTTTGTTGGTATAATGTCTGCTAGAACATTAACAAATGTTTAGTGTTAAGTAAATATTTTTAAATTGTCGTTTTGTAATCAAGTTTTTCTTTGAAAAGCAAGACAAAACAGTAAAAAAAACACATTGTGGCTATTTAATTAATGCAATGGTGAAAAATATAGAGGAAAAAAACGTTCGGTATTTTGGCCCAGTGTTTCATTTTGTTCGGTTTCGGCTTTGGCCAAGAATTTTCATTTTGGTGATAGTAATATATTTGAGTTGTGTTTTTGTCGTCTTTAATAGAATAAACCATATTTTCCATGTTTTTTGATGCTATTATTATTGTGTATTCATATTGAATGGTGTTCCATGAAAGCAACAAATTGTGACTGCAAATAACTGAAGTGGAAAGAGATGAAAAAAAGAGCATATGACTAGGAGGGTAGTCAGGTTTTTCTTCTGTTTTTGTCCCTAGCTGATCATATGCCTGAGATGTGTTTATTTGATTAGAGTGCTGTCTAAATGAATCCTGTTCTCCCCTCTAGCTGAACTCTATGGATGTGCCTGCTGCCTGGAGAAAGGTGGATGTGATCCGGGAGTCCAGAGCTACACAGGTCCATTTCTTTGATAATGTGCAGACCAGGCAGGTCTTGGAGGAAATTTTCTTCCTGAAGAGACTCCAGACCATCCGAGACTTCTTCCGTCTGTGCGGATCATTTGCACAGACGCTATCTGGTAAACATCTGCTAGATAATTTCGCAATATATTATGTATATTTTCTCAATATTAGGAATGACGCATGAATAAAGTAAGAAATACAAAGTAGCACGCAAGAGTAGTATGTCATTGTTAGGGTTGGGTACCGAAACCTGGTACCAATATGGCACCGGTACCTATGTAACGGGTATGTACTAGAACCGAATCAGAACGCAGATTTCAGTGCCATGCCTGAGCGATCGATTGAAATATTTGTCCTCTGGTTCTCCGAAACGGACGTAAGAAGCTTCATCACCGGTACCACACGTGAAAAATAATTTCCCGACTGAGAAAATGCACGTGAACTCAAGTCAGAAAACTGTAATAATACAAATCTTTGTAGTAACGAGAGTGTTACTACAACACTTTCCGACTTAAAAGCACAACTCGGGAAATGAGAGCATTCGAGGAGCGCATGAATGCAGTAATTACACTTGCTCTGATGGCAGCAGGTAGCCTTCCGTTAACTAAGCTAAACATGCTTAAATTAAAATGCCTAAAGCTAAACTTCCCTTGTATTCACATTTCTAAACCTATTGTCCAACAAAAGAGAACATTATAACCTTTTTACTCCACAACACCTGTCAAATGCTTCCTTTTGTGATCTGATGTGGCTTCTTGTCACAGAATGAGGCAGAAAATATGTTCCATAGGCTACTACATCGATTAGCAATGGATTATAAATGCACTTAATTGTTATGAAAATACCAGAGATGGCTTGAATAACACAGATAATCTATATTGTCGCAGTCGAGTGTTTATTGCCTTTGTTTTATCATTCAAAACGTTTATATATTCTGTTTACTCAGTTGCAGCTATAATAGCATGCCTTTGTCCATATAAGGGATTTCCTGGAGGGTCATGAGTTCCTACTTCTGTGACTAGATATGTGGATTTTCTGTGCGAGGGCGCCCTCTGGTGTCCAGTATGAATGAAACAGACATCATGCGTTTATAGTGCTAATGGCTAATCCATCATGTTTTGGGGAATTTAAAAAAATATATATATATTTTTTTTTAAGTATCGGTTTAGGCACTGAAACTGTTTTAAAAGTATTGATTTGGCACCGGTATCGAAAAAAACCCTAGTCATTGTGCAGAATCAGGCTTTTTATTACACACTTATTTTTCCAACAGGAACATGTGCTACACCTACTGATGAGCCTCCACCCTCAAATGGCCCAGTACCCATAGTGAAACCCATGTACAGAGGCTCCACTGTAGTGACCGAAGACCAGATGATGCGGCCCATCAAAGCCTTCACGGCAGATTTTGTGAGGCAGATGCTAATGGGGCTCCCCACCCAGGCTCTGGGCCTGGCCATCTGCAGCGCTCTCAGTGCCCTCGGCATGGATCTCATTGCCCAGGTGGAGGCCAAGGACTTTGGCGCTGAGGGGAAGGTTTCTCTGGATGACCTGTGCAAGAAAGCAATAGAGCAAGGGGTGCAGGCAGGACGGATATCCCAACTGCTGCTCAACAGGGCTACAGTGCTTGCCAGCTCCTACGACACGGCTTGGAAAAAACTGGACCTGGTACGACGTCTGGAAGTCAGCATTGAAGCCTGTAAGGTCAGCCTGCAGAGGACTCAGCTTCACATCGCCATGTTCCAGGTAAGAACCGTGTCTCCGTTTACAAAAAACAATGTCGTCATCGGTTGTGGCTGTGAAGTTCTAGTGAAACTTTGTGTGCAAAAATTCAGGTCCCGTATGCATTGTCAATAACATAGAGAAGTAACAAACTACAGTCACTTTAAAACCAAGCAGCTTTTTGTTGGTCAGCGCAGCAAATTCTAATCTGAACATGAGCGGGATTTGACTGAAATTCACCCATGAAATTTTACCAAGCACCAGTAAATGTGACCTTTGCCCTCTGTTCTCTCTCATCAGTGGCAGCATGAGGACATTCTCGGTGCGAGGACTCAGCCCATGACGGTCAGTCCCCCACCTCGCTCCATCATCCTGAGCAACATGAAGAAGAAGCTCTACAAACTCAGTCAGGACGAAGCTTCTATTGGCAGCGTCCAGGTTAAAGCCGTTGCATATTTTGGAAAATGTCAAAGTGAAATAGAAACCTTTTAATTTAAACCGTATTGGGTTTTGTGTTGCAGGAGAAGTTGGCAAGTCTAGAGGGCAGCATAGAGCAAAGGCTGAAGTGGGCCGGTGGCGCAAACCCTGCACTCGCCCCAGTGCTGCAGGACTTTGAGGCCACTATAGCAGAACGCCGTGCCTTGGTGATGAAGGAGAGTCAGCGTGCCAACCAGGTTACTTTTCTCTGCAGCACCATTCTCAACTTCGAAGGTCTGCGTACCCGCACTCCAGAAGCCTTGAACATGGATGCTACACTTTTTGAACTTGTGAAACGATGCCAGGCCACCTGCTCATATGCTGCCCAGTTTAGCACCTCCGTTTCCTCTCTGGAACTTCAGCTGCTGCATAGACTGGTGAGTATTGCTGGATTTTAAAATGTTTTTTTATTATTCTATCCACTTTTTTTAATTTGAGGGGTGGTGGGGGGCATTTTTTAGACATTTTTCAAAAATATATTTTTCTCACCTAAATGTTTGATCATGCAGTGCATTTTTGTTTTTACAACCTTGCAATTGTTGCACAATAGCTTGCACACGGCACAAGCCTGATTTCGTGAGCTGTATGTGAAGCGGTGCAGAAGCAGCAGGTGGTCACTGTGCTTTCTTTCCTCCTTTCACAGGAGTCTGCAACTGATCCATGGCTGTTTACCATAAACATATTTATCCATCCATTATTTTGATTTCAAATCCAAACATTGTTACTGAAAATGCTTTTTTCAGCATTGTGATGTGCATTGTTTGTTTTGTTTTTTTACACAGTACAGTAATACAATCTTTCATAGGCGTGTTTAAATGCAATAAATATAAGAAACACCTTATTCAATGCGTTTTACTTTTGCATTTACTTCTAGATTTATATATTAAGTTGTGGCAAGCAAGTTGCAAAACATTTAAACTACTTTTCTTACATTATCACAAACATTGTAAATTAAAGGGTTAGTTCACCCCAAAATGAAAATTCTGTCATTAATTACCCACCCTCAGGTCATTCCAAACCCGTAAGACCTCCGTTCATCTTCAGAACACAAATTAAGATATTTTTGATGGAATCTGAGAGCTCTCTGACCCTCCACAGACAGCAACACAACTGTAATATTCCCAGACAGAAACGTAGCAAGGACATCGGTGGCTCAACTTCAATTTTGCGAAGCTACGAGAATACCTTTTGTGTGCAACAATTCTTCTCCCCTGAGTTACTGTCTTCCGCCATTTTGGAGAGTATCACAACGCATAGGCACGCTTTACCATAAGTGTAAACCACGCCGATTACGTTCATGCGCGCACTTTCCACCCTAACGTAAACGATGCCGATTACGTTCTTGGGTACTCTCCAAAATGGCGGAAGACGTAACTCAGGGGAGATGAATTGTTAAATCAATTATTTTAGTTTTCTTTGTGCACAAAGTATTCTCGTAGCTTTCGCAAAATTAAAGTTGAACCACTGATGTCACATGGACTGTTTTACCGATGTCCTTGCTACGTTTCGGTCTGGGAACATTACAGTTGCGTTGCTGTCTATGCAGGGTCTGAGAACTCACACATTTCATCAAAAATATCTTAATTTGTGTTCTGAAGATGAACGAAGGCCTTACGGTTTTGGAACAACATGAGTGTGAGTAATTAATGAAAGAATTTTCATTTTGGAGTGAACTAACCCTTTAAAACTTAACAATGACCGAAACCGTCAGCTCTACTGCCTTTTCTTTTGCATTTAATTCTTTAGTACAAGCAATCCTGCAGTTCATAAAGAACTTTGTTTTCCTACCTCCACAAGTGCCATCGTATTGCCTTGTTTATATAAAAGTGCTCTTTTCCTTTAAACCTAGCCAAAAAGCCATAGCCTATGTGTTGACTGTGAAACACAGGAGACTTTAATTATATGCATTTATGGTGTAATTACTACGTTTTCGTGTCAATCCATATTCACATTTACCGCAAACAATGCACTGTTACTTTAATTCAGCACGTGTATCACAGCAAAAATAGACTCTGTGTGGAAACGATCTCTGCACTGCTGCAGACGCACCGCGCCTGGAACACACTGCCGGACCGCAACCGTGTGCAGTGTGAATGCTTTAATCCGTTAACATGAGCTCGAAAAAAATATGCACCGCATACGCACTGCAAACATGTGAACCTGACGATATGTGGGTGCGCTTCCGAGTGTGCATGAGCGCTCCATCTCCAGGAGAGTGCATGAGAATGGTTTAAACACTGGCAAGAATTAAAAAGAAATGCTTTTTTGTAAACTTTAGTGACGATGCAACACTGGCTCAATTGTGCAAGTGACAATTCCTGTGTCAACTACAGCGTGCAGCTCGCTTATAGACAGACGCAATGTGATTTGAAGCTGTTTGCGCATTTTGAGAGAGAAAGGGAGAGCACGCGCAGTGATTCACTCGCATGGTTTGTAAAATTCTCACAAAGTTTTCAAATTCTTCATAAGTTATTTAATGAAGAAATATGAATTGTACTTCACCTTCATTTTACCCGAGTCGGACAGACTGAGACGGTGCACCATTGTGTCAAACCTCTCACAACAGCTTGAGATTGAGATTGAGTATTATTTTAAAATGTAATTTCTGTAATGACACAGCTGAATTTTAAGAGCTGAGTCTTAAGAGCCACATGATTCTTCAGAAATCATTCTAATACTGATTTGGTGCTCAAGAAACATTTCTTATCAATGTTGAAAATAGTGATTATTTTTTGGGGTTTCTTTTTTGAAGAAGAAGAACATGTAACATCATAAATTTCTTTACTCTCCTTTTATCAGTTTCTTAAAACTTCTGTCTCCAAACCTTTGAACTGTCGTGCATAGCGATCGATCAGTATTGTATATTTCATTGTTGATGATATTTAATGAATCCGTAAAGGTTAACTTCCATTTTAGAGGATATATTTAAAAATAAGTTAAAACTTGAATCCTGCGAATCTCTAAATATCCATTTTTATACTCTACATCAGGGGTGTCCAACCCTGCTCCTGGAGAGCTCAGACAGGTGTGCTGGAGCAGGGTTGGAACTAAAGTCTGCAGGATGGTAGCTCTCCAGGAGCAGGGTTGGACACCCCTGCTCTACATGTATGATAGTATGCCTGAATTCACTTGTAGGATTTAAAACAATTTATTTTAGTTTCTGGTGTTTCATTTTACATTTATTTTGTCAAACTATATCAGTGCAAACCTGCAAATCACTTGAACTACTTGGGAATCCAAAAAAAAAAATTTCACCATAATCTGTTGGGTGTCCGCTGTTTCTAATTGAAAAGCATTGGATCATGTCTTTGCAGAGTGCTGCCATGGATCTGTCCATTGGTGGGCCTGAGTGGCTTGTGTACGCACAGAATCACCTCACCCAGGAGATGTCCAGTCAGAGAGCCATGCAGGAGGAAAGAGAGCAGCAGCTGGAGAGAGTGACCGAAACCCTGCAGCTGCTGGTAGACTCCATTAAAGGCATCCTGTCCAATCACAACCGCCAACTTGCTGATGTTAAGCACCTCCTGCGTGCCATGGCAAAGGTATATAAGCCTCTGATGCTAAATGCTTGACGTGTTTAGTTTGTTGGTCACCTTTAACCGCTGATAAAAAGTGGTTTTATATGTTATTGAATTGAGACCTGCTTTTCAATTTGGCAGGATGAGGAAAATGCCCTTGCGGAGGGAGAGGAAGTGACTTATGAGGGTAGTGTGCGTCAGTTCCTGTCAGAATACAAAGCATGGCAGGATAATGTGCAGATAGTGCTTTTCACAGTAGTGCAAGCTACAGGTCAACCACGCAGCCAAGAGCAGGTTGAGCTACTGCAAGAAATCCCTGCCACCCTGAAGGAGCTAAAGCTTCAGAGCCAGAGGTGAGCACTTGTGCTGGATTCAGAACACAACTTGTAATCCTTCAAGGGGTTTTTTGTTAAAAAATTTGTTTTTTTTTAATTTCCTTAGCATCTACAATGGCTTGGTGAGCTTCGCCTCTCCTCTTGTCACTGAGAGAGGAAGTGACTGTGCAAGTCCCACATCCACAGTCCAGACCAGCTTTGCTGCTGGTAAGTTTAAGATGTAGCTTTGGTTCTTTCATGGGGGGGGGGTTTTCTGTAGGTGCTTTGAGTTTGAACTTTCTCTCTGTCTGTTACTATAGCAGTGCGCTGCAGTGGAGTGAAGACCCAGCCTGACAGCATGTCTCAGAATGCCCGCAAAGCTCTTCCTCGAAACTTTGGGACTCCGGTGGACACTCCCCCCAGCACTCTGATGATCAACAGTAAAGGACTGGCCCCAAGCCCCAAAAGAGCCGTGCGGGATCCCAAAACTGGAAGAGGTTAGTTGTGATGCGAATGCCATCTCAGAGATCGGTCCATTTAAAATGTAGCAATTTTACATATGTGTGTTTGACCAATATGTGGTTATTTTAAAAGATGCCTATTAAAAGGCACTATTCATCAAGTTAATGCTGATCATGCATTCAATGTTTTAGCATTTTAATAATTATAAACTATTGAGAAATACACTACCATTCAAAAGTTTTGGGTTGGTAATTATTTTTGGCTCTGGCTTACCAAGACTGGATTTATTTGAACAAAAATACAGTAAAAACAGTATAGTTTAAAACTTCAGTGCCAAAACATCCTGCAACAGAAATATTTAACAATATTTTAAATTTGTATCTTTACTGTTGCTTGATTAATTGAATGCGTTCTTGTTGAATGAAAGTATTAATTTCTTTTAAAGACCCCAAACTTTTGAACAGTAGTTTAGAATCTTTAGATCTGCATGTTTGACCTACAAGGGCCAATGTGCAGTTATTTTAACCGATAGATCAATGTTAACTTGAGTATGAAAAGCACTTCACTGATGTTCACGTTCAGGCAGTTTAAACTTATGATGTTTAAATTACAGTTTGTACTGACAATGGATTGTTTGGATAATGGTATCTTCTAAAGGAAAATGGTGCCTTTCATTGAAGTCCTCTTACGAAATCAACTTGAAGCTTTGCTAAGATCACTGATCAGCAGTTTTTCCTTCAGCTGTGCAAGAGAGGAATTCCTACGCTGTTAGTGTGTGGAAGAGGGTGAAGGCCAAACTGGAAGGGAGAGATGTGGACCCTAACAGGAGAATGAGTGTCACTGAGCAGGTGAGCTTTCCTCCTTTATCTATACAACCTTACTGCTGCTGTTGTGTGCGTTTGTTAATGCCATGTATTTTGCTCTCTTTAAGGTGGATTATGTCATCAAAGAGGCGACAAACTTGGACAACCTGGCACAGTTGTACGAGGGATGGACAGCATGGGTGTGAACGGGATCCTTGTAGATCACTTTGGTCCAGCGAGGGTAGAAATCCACCAAAATCCACTGGGTCTGGGGCAATGAAGCCACAGAGCACCATGCAGGAAAGGGGAGGGGGGGTGTAGAGACCCTCCCTCGGACCCACACCGGATCCCCGTAGCACAGCTACACCCGGCGATCCAGCTAATACAACGAAATGGGTCTGCATCTGTCTCCCCGAGATGTGTGGGGAGCTCACCAAGATGGGGAGGCGGGGTGGGGGGGTGCAAGGCACACGCGGCTTGAACTACCCCCCCAACCAACCCCTGTATCAACAACAAAATAAATGTCTGTCAACTATCAAAACAAATAGGATTTGCCACAGGGAACATTTGCAGGAGACAGTTTATCCACTCTTTGAGCGAAGGTCTGCGGTAATTAGCGAGTTTCTAGACTACATTTGTGCGAGAGTGGAGGGAAAGGGTGATCCGGTCTTGGAGGGATCCTCTGTTTTTGGATGGCTTGGGGTCGGGCACGACTTGCGGCTGAGCTGTCTCCTGCTGGAGCGGGTGTGGAGGGCTGTGTGACCAGAAGGCTCAAAGGACTCCATTGGAAGCCAGAAGGCCTTTGGCAGACCTTAGAGTTCATTCTTAACCACAAAAAAGACCTTTTCCCCTCAAGTATACATAGGAAATACTTTTTACACCTTCACCAATGTACTGCACAGATTTCTCAAATAAAGGCAAATCGCAAAGTGGCTTTGAGAACATTCACCTCTTTGAGCGAAGGTCTGCGGTAATTAGCGAGTTTCTAGACTACATTTGTGCGAGAGTGGAGGGAAAGGGTGATCCGGTCTTGGAGGGATCCTCTGTTTTTGGATGGCTTGGGGTCGTCGGGCACGACTTGCGGCTGAGCTGTCTCCTGCTGGAGCGGGTGTGGAGGGCTGTGTGACCAGAAGGCTCAAAGGACTCCATTGGAAGCCAGAAGGCCTTTGGCAGACCTTAGAGTTCATTCTTAACCACAAAAAAGACCTTTTCCCCTCAAGTATATATAGGAAATACTTTTTACACCTTCACCAATGTACTGCACAGATTTCTCAATTAAAAGGCAAATCGCAAAGTGGCTTTGAGAACATTCACGGTCACGTGTTTCTGAATGTTTGGCACAATGAATGATGTGCTTGGAGTTGGCAAGTGCTCAGTCTGAGGTCTCTTTGATTTGATCCTCGAGTATGACCCAGGCTCAATATGGTGAGATGTGCAAATCAGTTTCTAAATGCGTTTTTTTCTTTAGTATGCATCTCTGATCTTGTTTGTGTATTGTAGATTCTTCCCTTTTTTTTTTTCTTTGCTATGGATTTAGTCTAGATTGCTCCTTTTTTTGACTTGCCTGTGGAAGTGTATCACCGCTGATACATATCCTCATTAAAGCTTGCGTTTTACTGATCTTGACCTAGTTTTACATTTTTAGTGGGAGAAATAAGTAATGGAATAGTGATGTGGTGATGGTTACAATTGTTGTCTCTTAATGGTTTTACTCCACTTTGTTGGTCAAATAAAACTATAATTAAACCTCTTGGGTCTTCATTCAAGCATTTGCTGTTTTTGTTCATATTTGTCTGATTTTTACACTTGGAATTTTCGGAATTGGAATTTTAACTTGTTTAGACTAACCACAGCAATTCACACCGTCTACCTTTTGTACTGCAATTTAACCTTGTTCTGGAACTAGGCTTCATTACCCAGTGTTAAAAGCAGTGCTGTGACCCCCCCTTTCATAATTACAAGTGTAGTTACGTTGCTTAACCTGAGGTTAATACAGTAGTAACCTAATATTGAAAGCCTATTTGTTCTTCAGCATGACACATTTTGTATCCAATTATTAGCAAATGTAGGTTTTGTTTACTCGACGCTAACTTCTATTTGACCTTCTCGATTGTTTTAAAATGAAACATTATTTTTAATGTATATTGAAATATTCAATTGTGGTGAAATCTACCGTATATTACAACTGCAAGCTTTATTATATATTAAAATAGTAAATTAATAGTTTAAAACCATAAACTATATTAATTTACCAAAATGAACATTTGGCCCCATCCCAAGTTGTGGCTGCATCTAAGCTTTCTCCCTTTGTTTTCACACGATTTTCCACCATTACAAAAATGTTCACCTGTGAAATGCCATTATCTGGACTCTTTCTTTAGCTTAGTTTGAAGAAATATCAATCGTATTCCATTTTTCTCCATTCTTACACATTTTATAGATTGTAGGTAATGCATTTTTTAAGCTCAGCCATTCAACCGTGTTACCCAAATTATTGTAAGATATGTGAATTTAGTTTTTCTTTTAATTTAGGGGAAATGAAATCTTTGGCTCTATTCCAACGTAGATCATTACTGAGCCCACAGCTTGATTTGTACATTTTCAACCCTTTTAAGCATTTCACCATTAGAGTTTACGCACCTGCCACTGCTCATTTGTTGGGGGAAATGTCTTTATCGGTTTAGGCCCTGTACCATATTTTTGTTAACGGTTCCCCCTTGTATTTTACTAGTGAACTACATTTCCCATGAGTCATTGTGTCCCGAGTTTCAGATAAAAACATCCTGGAAATAACGGTCGGTTGACAGACTGCCAGTGCCGCGGTACAGGGGAGGCGGGTTCATATAATCGTGCTCTCCGAGCAACACAGTATCTGAAATACACCAAAATAAACCATGGCTGAGGGCGATAATAAAAGTGCAAATCTGTTGGTAAGTGGTCTGTTAATGTTCCGTCTTGCAGGCAGTTCGCCTGCTGTCGAAATGTAGATCTTATGATTGTCTTTAGCAATATGCTACGCGGACTTCTGCTGCTGTCACAACCTTAAACGGATTAAACAAAGGCATGACAGGACAGTCTTTAATTGTCTAAATGTTAGTCTTGTGAATGCACCGAATAGAAGGTAAGTTAAACGCCACGGATATGAACTGCGTGATAAGATCTTAGCAAGCTAACTAATTCGGTGCTAACGAAACGGATTACTCGGTATATCTAGCGCCTTACTAAATGGTTTTAGGGATAATGCGTTTGTTTGTTTGGTACATATTTAATATATTAGGTTTTTAACAAGTAACGTTATTTGCTTTTGATAAATATTTGTAACTTAAAATTAGTTTGAGCGTCGCTGGAGATAAGCTTGACTAAAGTCTTTACGTTACATCCTAGTCTGCATTTTTTTTAGTAGAGATTAACGTTACGTTAGTTGTAAATTAAAGCCACCAAGAACTGTGGTTGACGTTTATGCTTTAGCCTTTTAAAATACACATTTGAACTACCTATATTTTTACGCGATCTATCACAGATAAAGGAAGTAACTGGACAGACCCTTTAAATATGGCCTGCTGGTTTGAACACAGGGTTTCACAGTCGTTGTCTTAAAAGCCATTTATGTTCTCCTGTTTTACTTCGTATATGTTAACAACTAAAATATATCCCGGATTAGATAATAATTCATATTGGTGTCTATTTAACATTCTTGACATTCCTGCTGGATGTGCCCATCCCATGAATTCATGACACTCCCATTGTACAACCATTTCCGATAATGCCATGTCATCTGTCGTAAGAGAACTCATTGTTTGGACTCTGTTACTGACTGAAAGCACTTCTCTAGGCTCAAGAGACGAGTCTGCTGGAAGAGCAGCTGCAGGGATGGGGAGAGGTGATCCTGGCTGGAGATCAGGTCCTGCGCTGGGAGAAGCCGTGGTACCCAGCAGTATTAGTGGGTGCCACCACAATCCTGTTCATGTGAGTCTGCGGTTCATAGCATGCATTAGAGCTACTTCTTTACTAAAGGCCTAATCTTTCACTTCAGTTAATCAGATAAGGTTACACGCTGAAAGCTGAAGTCCTTGAAGTATTTCATGGGTTTTTTACCATTAACACTTGCTTTCTTCAGCGTCTGATTATATAGGTTGTTACACATTGTAAACGTATGCCTTTTATAATAATCTATTATGATGTTGTAATCTGATCTATCTGATATTCAAAATAATGCCATGAATGCCAGTGGAATCATTGCTTATATACAGTAATTTACGTTCTGGAAGAATAGAATACTATTTTTGAATTTAGAATAATGTTGCCAGTAGGGATGCGCAATATTGGATTTTTGCCGATATGCCGATATTTTTCAACTCATTTTGGCAGATAGCCGATGCCAATACCGATATATTTCCTTTTGTTTGGAATCAACACCAAGTCTCTCCTGTGTGAAAATTATAGACAAATTATTTTTACATTTGGTTAGTTTTTAACAAGAACTTATTTGTTGGAATTAAATAAACGATAATGAAGTTATTTTATAATGACAGTACGTTGAAGCTTTAGAAATAACTATAAATAAACTAAATATCAATTGCTGCATTTTCATTTATTTATTTATTTTTTCAGAAAGATGCAGTAGTAACCTTAACATTTTATTTTAAGGTTTAACATTTGTAGATAGTCTAAAGCAAAAGAGCAATCGAACCAAGTGTGAAAGCACCTAAGATGCTTCAGCTTTTTTTTTAAAAACTTAAAAGAAAAGGATAGTTCTTAATAGTGATGTCTTTTTAAGAATTAGTTCCTTTTTTACTCTTCCTCCTTTTACTTTCAGAAACATCCTGTGCTATGAACTAATCGTGTGTCACTCTGTGTTTTTTTTTATTGTGACAATTTGCATACAGTCATCAAAAAATGAAATGAATGCAAGTTTATGACCTATTTTGTCATTGGCAGGCTAATCTACTTCTTGGACCCCTCTGTGCTTACTGGTCTGTCCTGCAGTGTCATGATCCTGTGCCTGGCTGATTACCTGGTGCCCACTCTTGCCCCCCGTGTTTTTGGTTCTAACAAATGGTGAGTGAAGAGACGACAGCAAGTCCTGCTTTCGGCCACAGGCTCTAAAGTAACTCTCCTCGTCTACTAGAGAGGTTAATCAAATAGCATGTTTCTCTTCAGAGCACTTCAGATCCTCTGGGAAGACACATAGGGTATTTGCACAGCATGTATGTTCTTGCCTCTTTTGGTCTCCCCTGGCAACTTCCCTTGCTCTAGTTCAGGTCTCTGGTGTCTTTGAGTGACAGGTTGCAGTTGCTGCTGAGTGTCCAGTGTCAGGCACAGTGTTGGTTTGACTCAGCGGATCTCCACTCTGCAGTGAGAGGTCTTGCTATGCACGTCACATTCTGCAGAGCGAGTCGAGATCAGACCCCTGGCATTTATTTTAGTATCTGGCAGCTTCCTGTAAGCTTTAAGCCTTCAATATGGTCATGTTTTATGCCCAGAAATAAAATGCAATGGCTAAGCAGAAATGGAAACAGATTCCCTCTTCGTTTATGAGTGAACATTTATGATGTGTTTGTGTTACCCATAAAGACATTGTTTGTTTATCGTGTATGTTTTCTGAGCACTATTTTGTTCCTGCACAGGACAACAGAACAGCAGCAGCGTTTCCATGAGATCTGTGGGAACCTCGTGAAGACTCAGCGCCGTGTGCTCGGCTGGTGGAAACGTCTGTTTGCCCTCAAGGAAGAAAAGCCAAAAATGGTATGCTCATTTGACAGCACCTTCCTTGTTTTATGTCTTCAAATTTACTAGTGACTCGTAAGCATTTCACACTCAAAGCAAGCTGCCATTTCACACCACTAAGTTGGCTTTATCACTGTTGCTCAGCAGTAAGACCAAACAAACATGTGCCTAGCCCTACTTATACATAATTAAGGAGCACTTGAGCCCCTAAGAGAAAATGCATGACCCTGTGTGGGTTTTTGTCTTGTATATTTATGATATTTATATCATATGTAGTTTAGCAATATCACTTGAACAAGATTGCTGTTTTTCCCTAATATCTGTACAGCTGCAAATGTGATATTGAGTAAATATGTTAGACACAATATTGTCAATATCAACTGTTTAGCTCAATTTCACAAACGGAAATGGTTCAGAACAAAGCCACAGCAGAACTGTCGTTTCTTTCCCTTAATGAATCCACATTTTTAAACGAATCAAGTGAGCCAATGATTTAATAACCCATTCTTGAAGGGATAGTTCACCCAAAAATGAAAATTCTGTCATTAATTACTCAACCTCATGTCATTCCAAACCCGTAAGACCTTCTTTCATCTTCAGAACACAAATTAAGATATTTTTGGACGCATACATCGTGGTACTCTTGTGAATGGCGGCAGAGATGAGGAAGAGAAAAAATGCTGTATAAAGTTATTTTAGTTTTCTTTGCACACAAAGTATTCTCGTAGCTTTCTCATAAAATTCTGGTTAACCGCTGATGTCAGATGGTTTATTGAACTATTTGTTGAGTTCCGTACTACCTTTCTGGGCCTTGAATGTGGTAGTTGTGTTGCTGTCTATACAGAGTCAGAAAGCTCAGATTTCATCAAAAAATATTTTTCTGAAGATGAACGAGGGTCTTACGGGTTTGGAACAACCTGAGGGAGAGTAATTAATGACAAATCTTTCATTTTTGGGTGATCTAACAGTCACTTGCTTTCTCAATGATTGAATGAATGACTCGCTCATTAAGACAGTGA